ATACCAGTCGAACAAGAGCAGAAAAGTCAAGGCACAGGCTGAATGCACAGAAGTAAACAAGCAAGTGAAGAGGAGCATCAGAACTGACAAACGTAAATATGTGGAAGATTTAGCAATGACGGCGGAAAAGGCTGCCAGAGAAGGAAACATGAGACAACTGTATGACAACAAAGAAACTCTCTGGAAATCACCGTAAACCAGAACGACCAGTGGAAAACAAGGAAGGCAAGATAATCAACAAAACAGTAAATTTAACGTGCTACATTTGCCAACTACCCTGAAAGACTTTGAGGTATGAACGCAATGAGCACCATCAAGTATATGGCACGCAATCGCACTGTTAAAATGCACTGTCCTTTTAGTCTAAAGTTCTGCGCAATCACTATAAGAAACTTAAACCAAATTAGTGACTGCATTATTAATCTTCCCTTGCCATAGCAATCGAATTCATAAATGCTCGTCACACAATCGTTTTTTATTTTTCTATCCTTATCTGGTCTCCACTTAGTCAATTTCATTTTATTTTTAAGGACTACATAAATGATTCTCTTTGTTTATTCTTAGTTTGTATTCTAGGGTATTGACATGTTCAACCTCTAGATTCACACTATTTAACATATGGACATCTCCTATAGTTCTTCAATACTTTCTAATTTTTTCATGAATCTTCGTTGATGAGAACTTTTTTGATATTATGATGTAAAGTAAGTGCACTGATTTCCAATACTTAATACTATTATGTTTGTGTTATAAACGACTGGTGAGAAACTAGAAATAAAACAAATTCATGTTTTCTAATACATCCATTGATCTTGTTTTGATCAAATTGATCAATTGGAAAAATTGTACGAAATTTTTTAGCTAGCCTTTAGGGTAGATATTTTTACGGAAAACAGACTGGAGATAACTCCCTCCCATTTTTTTCACGTGTCAAGTGCTTCATTGTGTTTTGGCTCTTTTGAATAGAGTCTGTATACAACTTGTCTTGTGTGCTGCTGGGTTGTTGCTGATGCTATTTAATATTTGATCAGTATGCTTGCTTCCTTCAATTGATTGTTCCACAATGATCCGTAGAGTTGCGATTTGGTCTGTGCACGATCTATCCTTACGGAATCCTGCCTGTTGGTCGCGAAGTTGTGCGTCTACGGAGTCCTTCATTCTGTTTAACAATACCCTGTTGAAAACTTTTCCTGGTATTGAGAGAAGAGTGATTCGCCTGTAGTTGTCACAGTTGCTGAGATCGCCTTTCTTTGGTATTTTGACTAGAAGTCCTTCTTTCCAGTCTTTTGGTACCTGTTCCTCATCCCAGATCTTTCTGAAGAGAGTTTTGAGTACCCTTTCAGTTGCCGCTACGTCTGCTTTCAGTGCCTCTGCTGGAATGTTGGGTGGGTTCAGTGGGGCTGGTCGATTCAAGAGTTCTTTGAAGTGTTCTACCCACCTGTTTCGTTGTTATTCAATGTTGGTGATTATCTTGCCTTCCTTGTTTTCCACTGGTCGTTCTGGTTTACGGTGATTTCCAGAGAGTTTCTTTGTTGTCATACAGTTGTCTCATGTTTCCTTCTCTGGCAGCCTTTTCCGCCGTCATTGCTAAATCTTCCACATATTTACGTTTGTCAGTTCTGATGCTCCTCTTCACTTGCTTGTTTACTTCTGTGCATTCAGCCTGTGCCTTGACTTTTCTGCTCTTGTTCGACTGGTATTGATTGCTGCCTTCTTGTTCCTCCTTTCTTGAATCTTATCCAGAGTATCGACCGTGATCCAATCCTTGTGATGGTGCTTCTTATGGCCCAGAACCTCATGACATATTCGCTCCACTCTATTTTATTCAAACCAAAAGACAATTACAATATCATCTACCGAATGAATTATATCGACCATGACGAACACTATATTTGATCAGGCGGATTCCCTTCCCACCTACACATACATTAATATAAACTACCAATGAAATGATGCGATACCACTGATATTAGTACATGTAGGCAACTACGGACATTAATTCCATTGAAAGAACGTTGAAGTTCTGTATCTCAGAAATTCCAAGAAAGGCAGAGCATTTTTCAAAGCATTACATTATTATTAGTCAGCAACTAATACACACAGATTTAGACCTGATCTACCAATTCGTTCGGGAAATGCCAGGCAATAGGCTGGATAAAGGTTAACGAGACAAAACAGTCAGTTCTATTACAAGTACAGATGAAGATAATCAAACTTACAAAGATAACCAAATACGTCAATGACACCAGGAAAAGCTGATATAAGACTCATGGAAAAGCTAAGCTGGCTTCTAGACGAACTAAGCTCTGATGATGTTATTCAGAACCATAATAAAAGCTTCACAATCAGACCATATAACTGGAAGAACTAAACAACACTGAAAGCATCCACCTGAGCTCTTAATTTTGTCCATTATTTTGACATAATATAGATATATTTTGCTTTTCAGCTCAGCAACTTAAGCGTCGAAAATATACTTCACATAGATTTCGGTTAAAGTGTTTTTACTAAATCTTTTACTATTTACAGACTTTTGTGGTACCACTCGGCTAGTATAAAAATAATATTCATAAAATAAATATAAGGCTGCTCTATACACGTGAAAATATTCATATGGTTTACAAGCACATATTCTAGTTAATAGAACTAACAGACGTTGAAGCTAAGGAAACAAACACTACACCAATTAATAAACATTCAGCACTGTCTAACAATCAAGCGTGGAATATAGAGTAATAAAAAGTAATCAACAAAACAATGACAGCTTTCATGAACGAATAAGTAAAAGTAATGTTTATTAATGTATAGTGTTAATTTTCAGGTTTCTGACTATTACCCTACTCGTCCTACTATATTCAGTAAATGTTAAGGTTCTTTTTAAATCTGAGAAATATCTAAGAAGCTAGTAAAAACAGAATGACCGTCTGATATGCGTTTCTAAACGATCTTTATGAATAATATTACTACTACTGCAATCCCACTATGAAGATCAACTTGATATGCTTAGAACTTTCGTTAGTTATATTCCAGTAACTTATAATAAACTTAACCACATAAAATAAATTTGTTTTCACCATTTTCCAATTTAAATGAACACTTCAGTTCGTAGCATTTTTTTACGTGATCAAACATGAACAAGGGTGTTTAACATTGAAATAGCAAGACGTGTTTTTACAACAAGGAAATAAGGTGAAATGAATGGTATAAATCAGTCATTTTTCTCGATTATTCACCATATATGGTGAATTTTATAAAGTATTGAAAATAGTATGTGGTGTATTGAAAAAACCAACTAAATATTTAATATAAATATATATTAATTTTAATGTAGGTTAGTTAACATATTCGTTGCCAACTACAAACCAACAATAACGTAAATTAAGTTTATTATGATACTTTTCAGTGTAGCAAATTATTCATTTCTCATTCAGTTTTTAATATTGAAACATAAGTATGCAAGTTATGTGAATAATCAGAAAATCTGTTTTTTTAGTTTACTGTATTTAAGTAGATTGTACTATTGAATAGTTCCAAGATTAAAACAAAAGTACTTCAATTTAATCTAATGTGAATGATGACTGGTAATAATAATAAACAGTTTAAATCACTAGTTAATGTTAGAACATACGTATAATCAATAAGCACAAACTGACTACCGTACGAAGAACTAATTGCATATATACTGCGCTTAATGTCTTTCAAACTATGTCAAAAAGGCTATACCTACTCAATTAAAAGGATCATAATATATATAAAACGAAAACATCAAAGTGCATAGCTGATGATTGATTGATGATGAAGCATTTTTTTTTAATCATTACATTATTTCTCGGTATGTGATTGCAGAAACTGTTTATTCGTGTCGTTCAGTAAATGTGTTTCCGTTAATTTCTATAAGGTCTTCAATTTGTTCAACTGACTATGTTGAGTACAATCATTTCTGACTTCATATGTTTGATCATACATCATTTTATATAACAATTTTATGTAACTTTTTAAGGTTCACCAAGTGCACAATTTTCTGAAAATCATTTTTCGAATTTTCCATGCGAACAAAAAGGTCAAACAAATGAACGGTATTTTTGTATTTGTTTAAGCAATTGGAACGGAAAATTTAGATTTATTTTGAGTATTAACTGGTCCTATTTATTTGTCTAATACATTTGAGGATAACCAGATTATAATGGGAATTCGACTAAACATTTTACTAGCTGTGTGATGAGTACACTCGGTCTCAAAGCATCCGACATTCTACGGACATTGGGAAACAAATATGCGATAAGAATATATTATTCGAAGTATATTGAAACATAATTTCATTTACTGATATTCGACCAATGATGTCTCATCTAACAGACTGATGATCTCTAATAGTTTAAAAAAAACGTTTCCAGTAAATGGGCTTCACCTGAATTAACACTGAAAAGTAATAACACCTAATAAATAAGTTTCATTCGACTTTTCAAACCAATCAGATTTTTCACCCATCTGAATAATTTCATCTTCTTTAGTTAATCATAAACGATAGATAATTTAGTGAAATACAAGTCAACTCTGAAGACAACTATCCTTAATCAAGATAATATTTATCTTTATTCAAATTCATCGGTTACACACCAATGAATAAGGGAATCAGAAATTGCTTTCTCAAATGATATCGAAATCATCTATAAAATATTTTCTACTCACATATCTAATTTTTAAAAAGCTCTACCTCACCACAAACCACCCTGTTTTAAGTTTACTTATCTCAACCTACCTTGATAGCTTCATACTATTCGATTACAAAATTTTAAACGCAGTTTGTCTATTGGTAGTTGGTAACTTGAATAACAGCAGGTATATCATCATATGATTGAATGGTCTGACGAACCTACGTGAAAAAACAATAAAACATTTAGTCATAAATCAACTTAAATGTTAAAGACTGAACCAAGTCAGTATTAGCTCAGAAGCTGTTTTGCAACGCATCTGGATTATTTGTTTAGTGGGTTTTAAGAATGAAGTGCCCAGTGTGTAACAAAGAAGTTTACTTCGGTGAGTAATGTATAGTGGCTTTTTATTGAACAGCTGAACGTATTGAAACACTGGGTAAGGACTGGCACCGCAGCTGTTTAAAGTGTGAAAGATGTTACAGACCAATTACACCAGGTTATCATTGCAAGGTAGGTGTAATGCATGTTATTAACATTGCGAATAAAAGATAATTTAACAGATATGTTTACATTAACTCATGTAATCGCACAGTTTTGTTACTATGCTATGAATATAAATGGAGAAAATTATATTCCATAAAACTCTAAAATTTGCTTAGAACACATCAAATTTCATCACTCTTTTTCTTATCTATTTTCACTATTTTACACTAATTTTATCACGTTTCATTAGGATATCTTTTCCTCAATAAAATTATTTGTTGTCAAGTTCAACCGCTTTTCATCTACACATAGTTGTACGTATCTCAATATATAATTCTGTGCTACGAACAATGTAAGTGACGATACATTCACCTTGATACAGAATCAAAACGACAGGGGATTCCAACGGGTATCATCTATAATTCGACTTGCACTGTGCGACATGATAAATCCTAATCTCATTGTCACATTTTCGCCAAACACCATGACGATCATTAGCTTCTCTGAGTTATTTATTGAATCTGCTTTATTTCTTTATCTTGAAGTCAAAAGGTTACAAAATGTGAAATGTAATGACAATATAAGTGAGATTATTATTCACAAATTACTACACACCTCACTTCATGAAAATCTTCATTGGACCATATATCTTTAAAATATAACTGTAAATTAATCTTTACCTTAAAATGTTTGATTGGTCTACTAACAATATTTTTATCAAAAAGCCTGAAAGTTCATCTAGTGTTTAATTAACTCTGGAAAACTCTACAACACACTGGACTTTTATTACAAAATAGCACGACCCCTATATTATGATAGATTTAATAATCATATCTAGAGAATGAGCACAGATCTACGTTAACACCTTGATTGGTCTCCCCACTAGTCTCTGCTCAATATCCAAAAAGATAATTATCTCGATTTACTTTACGGCTTTGAAGCGATAGGCTACTTAACGCGACCTTGAGACTTATAACGCGTGAGTTCAACTTGTGACTGAAAGGCCTTTATAGTAGAGAGAAGAAACTATCCTACTACTGACATTTGACCTGATTTATTGGTAAAGTAAGTAAACGATTTAGCTGGAATATTTACTCGATTTATTATTGATTCAACTATCGCAAGAAAGGTACATGAATATATAACTAACGAGACCTCAACACACAAGGAATGTGAAAAATTCAATCACATCCAAACAAGGACACTACAGTAGAATGAATGATATACAGTAATCATGTTTAAATGTTTTAATTTTGAAAGGTAAGATACAGTAATTTATATGTTATAAGAAAACTTAAGATTTCCCGAATAAAGCAAGTACAAAACTAAATGTTAATACTGTACAGATTTCGAATTAGGTGAAAGTGTCCCAAGAAATCGCTTTCGTTGTTTGTCCCTGCTTCTTTATTCATATCATAACATCAGTTTAGTAATATCTATTTACCATAATTTATATCAAGTCACATTTCACTAGCAACATAACTGAAACTAGTGGTAATCAGGATCATACGATAATATACCACACCACACAATGTTTTTCTTAATGTAATCATCTTTACATTTCAGCGTAATGGCCGAATTTATTGTTATAAACCTTGTTACATGACTCTGTATGGACCAAGAGGTGAGTAGTTGGTAGTTTGATAGCCTTTGTTCTCCAATAAAGTCAATGTTCATTATTCGACAATTATTAAAACAATTTACGTAGGAATGATTTGTTGATTGTAAACTCACTTATCGACCAATTCGTCGTAGATCCGAACCTCATCCTACCTATTTCAGCTTGGGCAGCCGATATATCAATAGTTCTGAAATGTTACTCGAACCAGTGCGTAAATATATATAATTGATAAATGAATGTCTACTAAAACAATATAAAAACGATCTAAAAAATATCTTAAACTATACCCTACTGAGAACACTACTTGATCCATTTATTCCACGCAGGATTTCGTTAACAACATGATTGCTGATATACCAGAACCATGTCACTCGATAAATTGTTGCTTTAGGTTGTAAACAATAGTACTTTATTGTGATTTAATATGATATATATTAAAGTGGAGATGATGTAATGAATTATTATACATATTAGTGTATTTCTTAATGCACACCGGCATATAAGGACATACGTGGATTAAAAAAATTTATTGAAACCAAAACTAACTCAACGCTTTGATGTACTTCACTCCTTACTCATTTGAAAGTTCGTCTAACTGTTTTTATAACTTGATGATCTATAAAACAAAATCTGATAGAGGTGATTAGTATGTACGGAAATAAGAGATCTTGCTACTCATGTGAATTAACTTCATTGGACAACACAAGATAAACGTCAGGTAAGATATAGAATGTTTCGATAATTAAAATGGTGAACAAAAATAGCTGCCCTATAACATAATTAATGCATAAAATAATGCCAATTTGCATGAATTATATCTGCTCAAATAAAAACGGTACTGCATAAGACATATTCGTTTCTCTGTTTCATTTTACAAATAAACACCAATGTATCTCAGAATGAGAAAAATGCAACCTGAAAATTGAGGTTGGCGTCTCTCTTCACAAACAGAATTTTAAAACAACAAATTTCTATACACTTTTACCTGTCATTACTTTTCAGGATATGGTGCGGTTCCAAACACTGAAAATTACTCATAAGCGAATCAAAATGTATGACAATTCCGATGAACTGTCAATATTGACATTGTATGCATAACCCATGAAATAGATTTATTTAATTACTACTTATCTCTTGGATTTTAATACCGTATATTTTATAATAAAATCGTTTATCATAAGATGTGTGTTTTTCTTTTTATACCACAATGATCCGGTGTTAAATGATGGTGAAAATACAGAGAGTTAGGAGTAATTGTTCAGATTCCTAAACCAGGCACCACCATCATATCGGTGAAAATAAATATAAAGATATGATGAACAAACACACATCTAACTTCTATTTTATACAAGTCTCACCTATACTTCAAACACATAAAATTTAACTGTTCTTCACGTCTACACAGATGAATACCAATAAGGAAAAAATGTTTGAAAGGTCTACATACTTTGTAGCAACCGGACTTGGGTAAATTAATTCAACCTTCTTTTGAGCACATCTACTAACGGAATTATTACACGAGTTGATAAGGAGTTTGAGACAAGTGGAGTTCCTTATTTCACAGCAGAAAAATTACCATTCAAGACTGCATGCAGTGTGATAATCACTGATTTCTCATTCTAGAAATTTCAAAGTTCAACTATATTGAAGTATGTATATATTTTTACCTGGCTCCCCAGTGAACACATAATCTGTGAACAAATACAGAGAATTTCTTAAACAGAGCAAGAACGAAAATTGGTGCAGAATAATATGAATTTATTTTATTTCGTTAGGTTCTCATCAGCTGCTTACAACCTAAAATATTTGAAATTCAACGTTATTACAGATATTGACGTACTTATAAATGCGAGGGTGATTAAAGATGAATATATGCATCATGATGTAGCAAAGACTCCAATAGAGTTAATAAGGTCATAAAAATTTTTGTTTCGAATAAATAAATAAATTTCGTCTCATTGTCTTATTTGATGTATAAACATCTCCATAATTTTATGGACAAATTTGTCTGAAGAGTAGATTCAGGTCTGGAGTGACACATCTTTTAGTGGATGTGTCCCATGCAACGTGGTTGTAGTCAAGTAAATTTGGTAAAATAAAATGATTTTATAGTACTTAAGTGTTTTTCAATGAGCCAAGTTGAGAGGTGCTAAAGATTATCTTTAGTAGACCATGATGCACTTTGGTCTATTGAATAATGATTATCGTTGATAACTAATTTTCAAAGAAATTATCAGTAGAAATTTGGAGAAACGTTACACAAATGGAATAAAACCAAACAGGTAAACTTCAGGTAAGGAGTAGAAATTCTCACATCGGAACTATAAAACTCAGAAGGGTTCTATTACCTAGAACGAGATTAACTCAGATAAATAATTCCTCAACACTCACATACATTGTTCAGATACACCTATACATCATGACGCTGGAACAGTGAAGTAGGAATCTCCTCCTGTTATGCTAAGTGCTACAACTTTGGAATTAGCCTCTCTTTCACACTTGAGAAGCGAACAAAAGTCGAGCACCAAAAGGGATGGTGGACCCATCAACTGCTCAAAACTGTTATAACCCGATGAGAATTACGAATGGTAAATTTTGAGAACTATTTATGGATCAATACGATACATACACTCTTATTGTATAATTATTAAGTAGCCAAACTATGCATATTCAATTTCCTCCTATTATAAGCTTTATTTTGACCCATAGACTATTATTATGTGATTTACCGTTCTTGAGTTATGCCCAGTCTATTAATTACAGTCTTCCACATTCACAGTCACTTTTGGCTAGATCTTGTACAAATGTTGTTTTCTATTTTATGGCACAATGTGGTCTGTTTGGTTTGTATATAAACACAGTATGTTTGAAATACATGACTCATATTGCATAGGCTGAGATTGGTGTTTTGGACTCAACAGGCAGGGCTAGGCAGGGAGAAGGTCCGATAAGCAGTCTAGACTACTTGTACGGGTTTACGCATCAATTATTCGGTCGATAAGTCACTGTCTTCTACTTGGAGGTATAATTAAGTTATATATTAATAGGACACAAGGCCAAAAGTTATAACAAAAACACAACGTAAACCCGTTAGTTTACCAATGAAAACAGTTGAAAAGGAATAATGAAACAGCAGTAAGACTTGTTGATAAAGGTCTTCGTTGAGTTCTTGTATCCCAAAGTGGTAGTAATAGAAGATATCAACCGAGAACAGAAAATCTAAATTTTATTAGATCTAGTTGCCAAATGAACAGAAGGCCACTTTCCCATACGACAAAAGAATGTGTATATCAGCAGAATTGGGTCCAGTTTGTTTGATATTTAAATACTCCTGTTTCCTCCAAAATAACTTACTCTTAATGAGCTAGTAAACTACAAGCTTCTTCAAAGGAAATGAAGCTTGGATCGGAATGCCGAACATAATGTGGGATTTCTTTTGATTCCAGTCAATGAGATTTTTACGAATACAACTTCATTAGTGTCTTCCGTCAATTTGGTACCTGACTAATGTGAAACTGTTCTTTCAGATTTAGAGATAATAATAATAATCTGTCCAAGTTCACCAACTCTTTTCTTCTAAAACCACATACAATGGGCAACTTACATTGCTACAATTTGCCTCTTACAAACAAACCCGCAAGAATCCACACGAATAAGTAAAACGTATGAGTTCGAAAGTTGATACGGCCACCTCTTTTACCGTGGACTTTGTTAAATTTAAGCTTACACTAATGTTTTTCATTCTCATATGTACAGGATATATCTCAACAACTAACCCAATCAACGATACTCAGAAAACACCTTTTTATTACATTTAAGGGCAAAAATTGATGTACATACACATACATATTGTTTATTGACTTGCCACCATTTGACTGGTATTCCAAATTTAGAAGTAGCTTTCCATTCCCTATACTAATAGATTGTTCACTAATATTTCCATACTAAAATAATTCAGAATCTGCAAAACATGAACATTGATAACAGATATTTCAGTTTGTCCTCTACATAGGTGCAGATTCTGAAGAGAGAATACTTTAAATTTATGTTTAACGTCGCTTGTTAACTTCTAATACATTTTCGGAAAGTAGATCATTTCTTAATCCATACACTCTTCCATCGCACTCAAATCACACGTTGTAATGCATGGTTCCCAATCAAGATGTTCAGCTCACTTTCTCTACTAGTTGTTTGTATAGTATGTGGTATAAACAAGAGGATAGAGAAATATATTAAAGATAGATATCTGTCACTACATATTCATATGTGACTTGATCAATACACCCCTATCAATCAGATTCATTTAATTGGACTTCAACTGCTCAAGTATGATTTTAATTGGTCGTTGGTGGCCTTGGAAATAGTGGTCAGAAAATCATGTGACAGGACGGTGAGGCCGATACGATTGGATAAACAATAAAAGCATGAGAAAAGTTACGTTGTGTAAGCTGTAGGTCGTGCTAGCATTTTGTCGGTATAATTTCTCCCTTCTGTTTTTGTTGCCTGGGTTCATCAGCCATGAAATGCCCTTCATGCAATAAGGAGGTCTACTTTGGTAGGTTTAATAGTATGCAATTATATTAAATAGCTGAGCGGGTCAGTTCACTTGGAAAAGACTGGCATCGTCCGTGTTTGAAATGCGAAAAGTGCAAAAAAACGCTGACTGCGGGTTCCCATTGTGAAGTAAGTGTCTTTGTTTACGTATTGTTTTTATGAATAAGTTGGCGTAAAATCATTATAATATCGTTCAGACGGGAGATACGTCTGAGAGTACCCATCATTTCATACTGCTAATTTTGCATCCCAATAATTAACTACCTTGTCGACATGATTACTTCGATTTATCTTATTTTCACTTCGTATTTGATTCAGCTTCGCTTCGCCCCGATTCACCCTTGACCTAATATAACATTAGCATGACTACTTGTTTGTATTTGGCAAATATTTGGTCTAATTTATTTCCTGTGCTAGTTATTTGTTCTCTGGAAAAAGTGACTTTCACTGAGTCGCAAGATGTTACAAATCCGATTTTTTACTCATTGGATTATTACGAATGAGGCATTATTATGAGCAATCCATTGAAATGTCAATTTCTTTGGAATTCTTAAGTCAATTTGTTCTAGCAATACTTGGAAGATGACTGGTAGGATTCCTTTTTCTTTCTCATTCGCTTTATACTGGTTTGAAAGAGTCTTTACTGAGAGACACAAAAAATGGAATGATAAAGAAGTACAACACAACCGCGTAAGTCTTATTAACGCCTAAGAGCGGTCTGTGAAAATGTGTTATCTTAAATATTATCCGTATTGATTAGGATCTCCTTGTGGGTTCTGTAGAATGTTCTTTGTCACGTTCTTTAGTAGTGTTAGTTTTGGTCATTATATTCACCGAAACGGTGGTATGAACTGGTCTTTTTGAGTTAGTAAACGGTGTACTGCTGGTTTGAAGCCGATGGAATATCACTATCCATATAGCATTTTACTGCATATCAATTCATTCTTTTCAACATAAAAGTGTTTGTCAATGGATTTTCTCGGTGTTTTGTTTAGTGAGACATAATGAGAATTAAAAGGTTAAGTATATTATTTGGATGCTGTGGTTGTGTATAAGAAATATATGTTTTATTATGGAGTTGATGTAAAATAAGGATATAATAGAGTGACATTTTGCAACTGCTAATCAATGTGATATTTATTTGTATTTCAGCACGATGGTAAACCCTATTGTCAAATTCCGTGTTACCAAGCCCTGTTTGGACCCAAAGGTGAGTGATCATCAAGTAATCAGTTCTGTTTGTTAATAAGTTGATTTGAAAGCTTGACAGGTGGTAGAATGTGTAGCAGTCAATTTGATTGTAAATGTGTTGAGTACGAACTCCCACTTGCAGTATTAAGTTGTGTATCACTGAAATATTTAGAATGAGGTATAAGCTAGTGAATATTGTGTTGTTACGTCCTTGATCTGTCTGCCCAGAACATGTAGGTGAGGGATTTTCTTGATCTAGGTTAAGGCTTTGACACGGTAGGCTAACTTGCTCGACCTTGAGGTTAGAATTGCGTGAGCCCGAATCGAGATATATGAATAAATATATGACTAACATGATCACAACGTAAAAACAATTAGAAAAATACAATTATATTCAACTAAGCATTTGGGTAGAAAAGTGGAGTGCAAAGTGTTACGTATAAATTACAATAGCTTTGGAATAGAAAAAGGTATGGCAGTGTATTATGCATCAAACGGAAGCTTATGCTTTATAAAGGAACCCGGGAACTAAACGAAATGTTAGTATTTTACGAACTTAGAATTAAGTTTAGTAATGTCCTCAAGATTAGTTCCTTTTGTTCGTCATAGCTTCTTTATCTCTCTATTCACAGAATATGTAGTCTGATTAAATTGTGTGTTATTGAGAAGTTATAGTATTGTATGTGCTCATAAAAAACTATCGTCCTGAGTAGATGTGAAGTAAATTAGGCACTTTAAGACGACAATAACAAGATTAACTATAGGCAGGTCCCCAATATTACAAGATAGTAGATAGGAGGGCTGTGTATATTGCCTTCAACTTGCAAAGGTATTTTTTTAAGTAGAGTGAAATATCGGTCCTGATTTTGTCTATTTTAGAAGAAAAATTGTGTAGGAGAAAGTCACTGTCAAAAATTAATATTCATCTAATATAAATGCGTAAATGTTCCATATACATTATTGGCATATTTTGTTTTCAGGTTACGGATCAGTGGCCAGCAGTCACATCTACAAGTAGATAACAAATTTGTCACTTCAAGTTTCGTTTATACACATTCTACGTAACTAGTTTTGATGTCACTTGTGAGACAATTTCAAATGATCGCTCCTTCAAATACTGTTCAATTACTTGATTGTGATATTTTAATATATGAAATAAACTTGCTGCTTCAAAATTGTGTGTTTTACATTTCACTCTCCGTTATATTGTAAATCCCTCTATGCCAGTCTTTTCCAAATGAACTGACCCGCTCAGCTATTTAATATAATTGCATACTATTAAACCTACCAAAGTAGACCTCCTTATTGCATAAAGGGCATTTCATGGCTGATGAACCCAGGCAACAAAAACAGAAGGGAGAAATTATACCGACAAAATGCTAGCACGACCTACAGCTTACACAACGTAACTTTTCTCATGCTTTTATTGTTTATCCAATCGTATCGGCCTCACCGTCCTGTCACATGATTTTCTGACCACTATTTCCAAGGCCACCAACGACCAATTAAAATCATACTTGAGCAGTTGAAGTCCAATTAAATGAATCTGATTGATAGGGGTGTATTGATCAAGTCACATATGAATATGTAGTGACAGATATCTATCTTTAATATATTTCTCTATCCTCTTGTTTATACCACATACTATACAAACAACTAGTAGAGAAAGTGAGCTGAACATCTTGATTGGGAACCATGCATTACAACGTGTGATTTGAGTGCGATGGAAGAGTGTATGGATTAAGAAATGATCTACTTTCCGAAAATGTATTAGAAGTTAACAAGCGACGTTAAACATAAATTTAAAGTATTCTCTCTTCAGAATCTGCACCTATGTAGAGGACAAACTGAAATATCTGTTATCAATGTTCATGTTTTGCAGATTCTGAATTATTTTAGTATGGAAATATTAGTGAACAATCTATTAGTATAGGGAATGGAAAGCTACTTCTAAATTTGGAATACCAGTCAAATGGTGGCAAGTCAATAAACAATATGTATGTGTATGTACATCAATTTTTGCCCTTAAATGTAATAAAAAGGTGTTTTCTGAGTATCGTTGATTGGGTTAGTTGTTGAGATATATCCTGTACATATGAGAATGAAAAACATTAGTGTAAGCTTAAATTTAACAAAGTCCACGGTAAAAGAGGTGGCCGTATCAACTTTCGAACTCATACGTTTTACTTATTCGTGTGGATTCTTGCGGGTTTGTTTGTAAGAGGCAAATTGTAGCAATGTAAGTTGCCCATTGTATGTGGTTTTAGAAGAAAAGAGTTGGTGAACTTGGACAGATTATTATTATTATCTCTAAATCTGAAAGAACAGTTTCACATTAGTCAGGTACCAAATTGACGGAAGACACTAATGAAGTTGTATTCGTAAAAATCTCATTGACTGGAATCAAAAGAAATCCCACATTATGTTCGGCATTCCGATCCAAGCTTCATTTCCTTTGAAGAAGCTTGTAGTTTACTAGCTCATTAAGAGTAAGTTATTTTGGAGGAAACAGGAGTATTTAAATATCAAACAAACTGGACCCAATTCTGCTGATATACACATTCTTTTGTCGTATGGGAAAGTGGCCTTCTGTTCATTTGGCAACTAGATCTAATAAAATTTAGATTTTCTGTTCTCGGTTGATATCTTCTATTACTACCACTTTGGGATACAAGAACTCAACGAAGACCTTTATCAACAAGTCTTACTGCTGTTTCATTATTCCTTTTCAACTGTTTTCATTGGTAAACTAACGGGTTTACGTTGTGTTTTTGTTATAACTTTTGGCCTTGTGTCCTATTAATATATAACTTAATTATACCTCCAAGTAGAAGACAGTGACTTATCGACCGAATAATTGATGCGTAAACCCGTACAAGTAGTCTAGACTGCTTATCGGACCTTCTCCCTGCCTAGCCCTGCCTGTTGAGTCCAAAACACCAATCTCAGCCTATGCAATATGAGTCATGTATTTCAAACATACTGTGTTTATATACAAACCAAACAGACCACATTGTGCCATAAAATAGAAAACAACATTTGTACAAGATCTAGCCAAAAGTGACTGTGAATGTGGAAGACTGTAATTAATAGACTGGGCATAACTCAAGAACGGTAAATCACATAATAATAGTCTATGGGTCAAAATAAAGCTTATAATAGGAGGAAATTGAATATGCATAGTTTGGCTACTTAATAATTATACAATAAGAGTGTATGTATCGTATTGATCCATAAATAGTTCTCAAAATTTACCATTCGTAATTCTCATCGGGTTATAACAGTTTTGAGCAGTTGATGGGTCCACCATCCCTTTTGGTGCTCGACTTTTGTTCGCTTCTCAAGTGTGAAAGAGAGGCTAATTCCAAAGTTGTAGCACTTAGCATAACAGGAGGAGATTCCTACTTCACTGTTCCAGCGTCATGATGTATAGGTGTATCTGAACAATGTATGTGAGTGTTGAGGAATTATTTATCTGAGTTAATCACGTTCTAGGTAATAGAACCCTTCTGAGTTTTATAGTTCCGATGTGAGAATTTCTACTCCTTACCTGAAGTTTACCTGTTTGATTTTATTCCATTTGTGTGACGTTTCTCCAAATTTCTACTGATAATTTCTTTGAAAATTAGTTATCAACGATAATCATTATTCAATAGACCAAAGTGCATCATGGTCTACTAAAGATAATCTTTAGCACCTCTCAACTTGGCTCATTGAAAAACACTTAAGTACTATAAAATCATTTTATTTTACCAAATTTACTTGACTACAACCACGTTGCATGGGACACATCCACTAAAAGATGTGTCACTCCAGACCTGAATCTACTCTTCAGACAAATTTGTCCATAAAATTATGGAGATGTTTATACATCAAATAAGACAATGAGACGAAATTTATTTATTTATTCGAAACAAAAATTTTTATGACCTTATTAACTCTATTGGAGTCTTTGCTACATCATGATGCATATATTCATCTTTAATCACCCTCGCATTTATAAGTACGTCAATATCTGTAATAACGTTGAATTTCAAATATTTTAGGTTGTAAGCAGCTGATGAGAACCTAACGAAATAAAATAAATTCATATTATTCTGCACCAATTTTCGTTCTTGCTCTGTTTAAGAAATTCTCTGTATTTGTTCACAGATTATGTGTTCACTGGGGAGCCAGGTAAAAATATATACATACTTCAATATAGTTGAACTTTGAAATTTCTAGAATGAGAAATCAGTGATTATCACACTGCATGCAGTCTTGAATGGTAATTTTTCTGCTGTGAAATAAGGAACTCCACTTGTCTCAAACTCCTTATCAACTCGTGTAATAATTCCGTTAGTAGATGTGCTCAAAAGAAGGTTGAATTAATTTACCCAAGTCCGGTTGCTACAAAGTATGTAGACCTTTCAAACATTTTTTCCTTATTGGTATTCATCTGTGTAGACGTGAAGAACAGTTAAATTTTATGTGTTTGAAGTATAGGTGAGACTTGTATAAAATAGAAGTTAGATGTGTGTTTGTTCATCATATCTTTATATTTATTTTCACCGATATGATGGTGGTGCCTGGTTTAGGAATCTGAACAATTACTCCTAACTCTCTGTATTTTCACCATCATTTAACACCGGATCATTGTGGTATAAAAAGAAAAACACACATCTTATGATAAACGATTTTATTATAAAATATACGGTATTAAAATCCAAGAGATAAGTAGTAATTAAATAAATCTATTTCATGAGTCTTGTAGACAGTTTCAATAAATAAAAATGATCGTACTTTTTCGAGATGTTAATCTTATGCGTAAAAGTCATCAATATCTGGAACCGCCCCATAGCCTGAAATGAATCCACAATGAAAACTTTACAGAAACTGATTGTATTTGCAATTCTGTCATATTTATAAATGAATTTCAAAATCAGTTATTATCATTAAGTTATAAATTTGTAATTAAGCATTTGATATAAGAGCAATGTTGTTCAATTAGTTTATGTACTAAAAAAATATACTAACTCAAAACAACTGTCAACCATTATCATAGTCAGAATCTTCAATACGAACGTCAAGACAGTTCTGTTGTATGGAGCTGAAACTTGGAGAACTACTACAACCACCATCGAAAAATGCATGTATTTATAAACAATTGTCTACGTAAGATATTCAACATCCATTTTCTGGATACCATACGCAACAGCTTACTGTAGGAGAGAACAAACCAGCTTCCAGCCAAGGAGGAAATCAAGAAAAGACTTTTGAAGTGGATAGGACCTACATTACGGAAATCATCAAACGGCATCACGAGGCAAGCCCTAACTTGGAATCCTGAAGTGAGATGGAAAAGAGAAAGACCAAAGAACACATTAAGTCGGGAAATAGAAGCAGTCATGAAAAGGATGAATAGTAACTGTAAAGAACTGGAAAGGATTGCTCAGGATGGAGTTAGATGGAGAGTGCTGGTGGGCAGTCTATGCTCCTCCAGTTGGGGTAACAGGTGTAAGTAAGTAAGTAAGTAAGAAGTTTATTTCCTCTTCATAAATTAGTTAGTATGTGGATTGAAAGTTATGTATTTGTTTAGTAAAACTATTGATGAGTAATCTAATGACTTATGGTTTATTGATTATGTTGAAGTTTACTTATCCATTGACTCATAAATTTTAGTCAGTTTTTTACAGCGTAATCGCACCAAATGAGTTTTCATATGGTATTCCAGCAAATGCTTTATTACACAAATGTCGCTTACTCTAATGTGCTGTCAGACTGAAGAACAAGCCTAATTAGTACTCAACAATCATATTTATTGGTATTGATTCATCAGAATATTTTGGTCGCGCTCTAGAATGTTTCATTATTCTAATACACCAGCAATTAAAATGTATGTGATAGCTACTGTAGCATTAATTTTCCAAAATTCACTTTCTACTGGCTTATCTTTCAAAAAAACCAGATTCTTACAGAGATTGTTTTGATAATTGTCGAATGATAAACGTTGCTTTGATTAGGAAAAGAAAGGTTATCAAACTACCAACAACTCACCTCTCGGTCCAAACAGCGTATTATAACAAGGTTCAGTGCAATATAGTCTTCCATCACGCTGAAATACAAAGATGATGTCGTCAGGATTATTAGTCTTTGGGATGGTTTTTTATCGTATGATACTAGTTTCCACTGGTTTAGATTATGTTGTTGTTGAAGTGTAAATCATTACTAAGCAGTCTTAATAAATCATGCAAACATCCTTGTTTATTCATTTTTTAACTTAATCATCTTACACTTAATTTAGCCAGTTACAATTACTGAAACTCTTGAACTCGGTCCTCTGTATCCTACTTTATACATGTATACAGTGTCTTTAGTTTACTCCAGTCCATTGAGAAACGTAGTTAAAAACTTTCATGGAATCGAAACCATGGCTTGAGAGAACATGTTAATAAACACCATTAATGGTATGCTTTTGTTATTTATTTCGTATGGAGAACCAATACAGTATCCATGTCAATTAAAATATAAGTTATTAAAACTCGGAAATACATACTATGACTACGTAAAGTGAATCATAAAATTGGTTTGAATCCCATTAGCAGAATCAGACTACTCTTAAAATGAAACAGTCTATGTCGTTATAAGAAATCTAGCCAAAGCACTCAATCGTCGAATGAATGCAGCAATAGCTAGTACAATGTGAGTAATTGTTTCAAACACGTTCCGTTTAAATATAATTCTGCAAACTATATTTTAGATACAATTTCTTTAGTTAAAGAAAATATTTAATAATCCACTTACTTCTAAGCCACAACCGGGAAGAATTGTTTTACTACATCTGCTGCACTTTAAGCATTGGCGATGCCAGTCACAACCGAATGAGCTTACCCGCTCAGCTGTTTAAAGAATATTTAAATTATTGTGCTTACCAAAGTAAACTTCTCTATCACATCCGGGACACCTCATAGTTTCAGATGGCAGATGCTTCTAAAATTAATCAGGAAAGCTATTAAACTGACTTCTATTTATGACAATTTACAGCTTGAACATTACTTCTGTTTGACGGTTTTATTGCTTGTCTAGGGAATTAATTTGAATATTGTCATATGTCCCAACACTTATTGTCATCTAGAGTACCACTCGCCAATAAACTTCTTGTCTGTATGGCATGGTAATCCAATAAGATAATCACAACTACCAATACAAATTAGGAGGAGGGGTGGATAATTAGGTGCTTCTCAAATGGTTTGGTTGAAATTCACATTAACTACTAAAGTATGCCGCACGTGCTACAAATGGGTGATATAGAAAATTGAGAAACATGAGAACAGGCAGAATTCGTGTGAAAAAATCACAAGAACTACAACAAATGGCCCACTAGTTTACACATGTCAGCTGACTTGATGAAAAATGTTCTGGATTATTATTTCGGATTTCTAAATCGATCCATAGTTCAAGAATGGGCTATGAAACCTGTTTAATTTTGACTTATTTCTATTTATTTCTGTTGAACCGATTTGTTAGGTCCATGATAAATTTGCTTGCCTTTCAATAAATAACTGACTGACATTTCTCACCACAGAGAAGAGAAAAATGTTTGTTAGCTGAATAGAGGTGAAAATAAACTATGAGTCAACATCCAACAAGTATGGTTATATCGATTTGATTCTCTTTTCATCACATATTTTTGATAAGAGGTAATTAGGTTTATAGAAGGAAATAATAAATCCAAAACAACGTGATTGATACCATTGCCTCTTTTTAGTTAATTGAACATACATCTGACATTACCTTATAAACACGAAGCATTAATTATCACTAACTAGCTAGAGTTTGGTGGAGTCATAAATAATGTGTGCAGTGTCTACGTAGACTAGTATATGAAGTGTCGTAAGCTAACCTTGGATATATGATATACATGCTTTTATCATCCCAATAATGTCTAAGTAGTAAAGGGGCTGATATTGTTTATTTCTGAAAACCAAATAGTTGGCAAACGCTATTATGGCTTAACTAAGCCTATTTTTGTTCATTTAATAAATTTTATTTAAATCTTAAGTTGGATTTGTAGAACAGCTTACTATATGTTAAATTAAAACTCCTAATTCTCATCTTTCAACTAATAGTTAATGTTTTTAGGCCTTTCGGTACACCAACCATGTGACACTTTCAATAAAGAACTTGATCTTCATTCCCACGGCGTTATATTGGTCAGTGTTAATGAGCTTAAACTTGCAGTTAAAACTCCACATTGATTAGGTTTTTACAACCAAACATCATACTTCTATTGTAGCTATGTAGTTTTCGTCGTATGAAAAATCAAATCGTGCATATACTTTAACCGGTGAAAATAATAATCGATGGTGAAGTCGGTAAGAGCATCAGGTATAATCTTGTGGATGTCGTCTACCCTGTGTTTATGATCTGTCATTCAAGATGATGTTATAATGTCTCACAATATTTCATCTAGCCAAAATGTTTTTCATCTATCAGTAGACAACCGGCTACATTAACCACAAAAAATAACTCAGAAGTACTGTCAAGAACCCATGATATTACTAGTTTGTTCAAAAGTTACCTATTATTAAAACAACAAATGAAAGTTACCAGTGTTCAGATCTCATGTTTTTTTTAGTTTTGAAATCTAAATGACTTCAACTAACATATATCAACAATGCTAAATTCAGAATGTGCAAAATTATTTACCAGGGAGCAATTCACAAAGTAGTATATTAGCTGATGACCTTATGGCTAGTCTTGATAACAGTAGTCTGAACTATGTAATAATACAGACTGACCTACTTCGTAAGTCTCTTCAACAATGCAAACATTCGGTTTATGATACAGTGACAAACCTTCTGATCTCTAATTAGCTATTTCTACGGTAGAGTAGACGTTCCATTAGTGAGAACATGAAGTGAAGAATAATTGAACTTCAGTAGACTGTATAACATTGCTAGTCAAAACACACTCTTGCAGAAGAAACAGAATGTGTTCAAGTGATGAACGAGTATTATCACAAATCAATATGTATTCTCTTCTTGTTTCTTACAGCTGATCCTACCGCTGTGAGTGTATCTACAGCATGATTATCACAGAAGAATAAATTTTAGGAAAGATTTTAAAAACACGTGAGAGACCCTAAATATAAATCATGCAAAGTAATTACTTGAAACCTTAAAATCAGATTTGCAGTGAAATATAGGAGGAATTATGTATTCTATTTCCTGCATCTAGATATTTCCCGACGGAATGATGTGACCTGACAAGGGCACACAAATAAGAAACTCGGGGGCAGGGAGTGTATAAACTTTTGTCGCTTCTTTCCTATAAGCTGTCAATATTGTCCAATGAAAACATTCTGACACAGCCAGAGATTTATGTTTAACATGAAAGATCAAAAAAGAGCATGAAGTGATAAATAATTGTCTTGGAGTAAACGTCTATCCGCACTTATAATGAAATGTATTGTTGAATACCAAAGACGGAAAACACTCTTAAAAAGTACGCTCAATAATACAAAGAAAAGTAGATAAATAACTGTCAAACGTTAATGGAAAGTTAGAAAGACGGATATCTGCACGTTTTATCAATCATATTATCAAGAATCAACGTTGTGCTTGTTGTTGTTGTTGGTGGTGGTGGTGATGATTGTATTAGTTCTCCAAGTTTCAGCTCCGTAAAACAGGATTGTTCTGACGTATGTATTGAAAATTCTGACCTTGGTGTTGGTTGACAGTTGTTTTGAGTTCCATTTGTTCTTCAACTGTAGGAATACCGCCCTTACTTTGTAAACCAGTGCCTTTCCATCTACATCAGATCCTCCTTGTACACCAATCATGCTGTCCAAGTACGTGACAGTTTCCACCTGTTTCAGTGTTTATCCATCAAATGTGATTGGGTTGGTGCTCACTGTGTTATATTTTAGGATGTTGCATTCTTCCTTGTACGTGTTGAGGCCTCCTGCTACATAGGATGCTGTCACATTGTCTGTCTTCACTTGCATTTGTTAGTGTGTATGGGTTAGAAAAGCCGGGTCATCTACGAAGTCCAAATTGTTTGACCACATCAAAGGTGTTCACTGCATTTCGTGCTTTCCCTCAAATGTGGCGATCATCTGTATTCAGCTAATTACCAGAAGAAAGAGGAAAGGTGAAGGTGACTAGCCTTGTCTGACATCAGTCTTCACTTTCAATACATATGGGAGCAGGCCTCCATTCACGACTTTGCATTGTAGACCGTCTTATGAACTTCGTTTGATGTTGGAAATGGTTCCGTAAGTTTTGCCTATCCACTCTGTTAAATGCCTGCTGTCAGTCAAGAAAGTTGATGTATAGGGATGAGATCCATTCAATTGATTGCTCAACGACGATCCATAGTGTCGCAATTTGGTCTGTGAACGTAGTTTGATACCTGAGTATTCCTCACACTTTCAGAGATCTTTCTTTGGTATCTTGATGAGGTATCCTTCTTTCCAATATGTTGGCACTTGTCCTCCTTCCCAAATCTTTCTGAATAGAATGTGTATCATCACAGTTACCTCTGTATCTGACTTTGGTGCTTTAGATGGTATGTTGTCTGACTCTGCTATCTTCTCACTGTTGATTTGCTATAAAATTGAATGATTACGTAATAACCAGTAAAAGAATCAAGGGTTTTCGTAAATGGTGTAATATTAACAACAGTTACATATGAATAAAGAGATTGATTTTTAAAATTTAGTGTTAAAATAAAAGGATGATAAGTGCTTTTGGAAAAGAATGAGATGTTATTTGTAAATTGCTGTGATTCATTGAATAAGTTGTCTTGTGGAAAACGTGGCTATATTGATGTACATGATGAAAACAACCATTCCATTTTTTTTTAAGATGAATGCCAGTAGTCTAGCTTGTACTCAGCAGATATATGTGATAAAAAAACTGGTTGATATATGATTACCCATTTGAAAAACATTTCTCAAGTCAATTTGGTGCTTACTGAGCGAGTAAATCTATGAAAATCATAATCATCGTATTCGCGTTAATCATTGATTTATTCTTCTGACTACAGATTTACAAATACTATTAACTTATCATTATTCGTTTGATATTCATTTTATTATCATTCGTAAAATATATACTAATCATAGGTCTGGTTAGGAAAGTTTTTCTTTTCTGAATCCGATAAAGAATAGTTGAGCATTATATCTTTTTAAGTGAACAGTTTACTCAATATTGAGGTTGAATTGAAACAAAGCAGTATTATTTTGCCCTGTGACAACTAAAAGCATTTAAAATAATGGAGCTGTCCTAATACAGTGAAAAATGTTATTCCTAATTATAAGATTGATTTTTTATGTTGAGTTCAACAGAATGTGGCTTTAACATTCGGTTAAACTTTTATATCCATAATGACGTAAATGTTTGCGTAAAAGGACCAACTTTCAAGTGAAACAACCCACTAGTGAATCACCATTTCGTTCATTACAATCTGCCAACATTCGTAAACCAAAATAAAAGGTACAGGAACCGAAAGTCTAATTATTCGATGAACTGATTTCAAAACAAATCACTTCATTCCTGTTCATCTGCTTCATAATAAAAGTGTTATATTTGAAACAGGTGTTTTGAAGTTATAAGCAACAGTAAGAACTATCAACTAAGAATTCAAAAAATTAGTGTTAGGCACTAGGATGTAAAATACGATTTCAATGATATCTCCTGTTCTTTCGTAACGAAAAGCTTGACATATCCAACAATAACAGACAGACCTCAAAATGAGAACTAAAAGCTAATGCTCTGATAAATCTTTCACACTTTAAACGTTGATGAAGCCAGTCTTTACTCACTTAGCTACTGCACTCAGACATTTAGTTATAAACTACATCATAACACACTGAAGTAGACCTCTTCGTTACACACTAGGCACTTCATTAAAATATACATCAATAGGTAACATGGAAACAATAGAAAATGACTTCTAAATAAATAGAGATCTGGTTCAATCTTCTATACAAAAGTTAAGTTATTGCTAAAGATTTTATTGCTTGTTTTGAATAATAATACACTAATAGACATCACGCGTTTAAAATTTTGTAATCAAATAATATGAAGCTATCAAGGTAGGTTGAGATAAGTAGATTTA